CTTCTGGGTACTCCTTTGCAGCTTACCTTAAAGTCTTTGTCTGCCAGAGTCCTCATTAGGAAACTGTAACTCAATGGATTCTACACATACAACTCACACTTCCCTCAGCAATGATCAATAATAAACTACAGTAAAGGCTTGAACAACCAACGGATGGGAGCAATAAAGAAGGGATCAGGGGGCTGGGGATTTAGCTCAGCGGTTCGGTGGCCTGCCTTGCAAGCGCAAGGACCCGAGTTCAATCCCCGGTACCACAAAAAACAAAAAAAAAAAAAAAAAAAAAAAAAGAAGGGATCAGTTATATTAACCTATATAACCAAGTATAACTCACGAGGGACAAAATTCTCATTCTTAATTTCCTTTTCTTTAAGATATATGAGTTATAAATATGTCAATCACTTCTATTCATGAAACTCTTAGTTCTTTCATCTCCTATGTCATCCCACTAACCACTAATAAACTCCTTTCCATTAACATTACAAGGCATTAGGCCTGACACATACATGATTAAATACATTCATGACACAGTGGGCAAAGACAGTAACATGCTTAGTTTAGGATCACTGCAACTATAAGTTACTTAAAAGTGGGGTAATTTGGGTGAACCAAGACTACTGAGGAAAAGAAATACCAACAATTCTTATTCTGACAAAGCTCTAGCTGGTGTTCCTACAGAATCATACCACACATTCTAATTCTACACTTTTACAGATGAAGAAACAAAGGCTTGCAAAGGCTCAGAAAGAGGCCCAGGCTGATACAATATGAAAGTACAAAGCTATACTAGGGCCCAGTCTCAAAAAGACTAGGCCAGTGCTCTTTTAACCTGAATATTATGCTCATAGGAGCTACTCCCTCTAAAAAGCACACAAAGATGCTGCCAGGGAAATGTAAAGAAATGGGTATTTAAAAGTTCAAATACTGAGATGGGTATACTTTAGAACATCATTTCAGTATTTGTGGTTGATTATTTTCTCGAGATGAATGCCCCTACCTTTAACATTAATAACTTGAGTCTAAGAGTTTCTCTTCTTCATGGAATGTCCTTATAAATTTCATTTATGAATGCCATCTGTCATCCATCTTAATCACTTTAAGTCTACTTTTTATTTATTTATTTATTTATTTATTGTGCCGGGAATTGAACTCGGGACCTTGTGCTTGAGAGGCAGGCAGTGGCACCACTGAGCTAAATCCCCAGCAAGTCTACTTTTTAAACAACAATTATTTGGCACATATACATTATCAAAGTATTAATTCTACTCTAGAAACAATAGATGTGGTGGTTCACAGAGTCAATTCTCTCCACAATTCTGGTCACAAATGAACTAAACGAGAACCAAACCAAAGTTCCCCATAAGGTGAACATGGAACCTAACCACTGAATTTGATTCGGTTCTCCTCCAACTTGGTTTGTGAACAGAGCCATAGAAAGAATCAAGTTCATGAACCAAGGTAGCACTGTATTTGGTTAATTAGCAAAAGCTTCCAGAGATCCATGCAGCTAAGATTCAATTTACAACTGTCCCAGGAAATTTTTTACTTACTTTAATTCTAGTATTTTTTCTTATATTCTTTCTCATTCACAGGGAATCAAAAGTACAAAGAATTCAGCTACAGAAAATTCACTGGAAGTTTACCATCAAAATTTTCCTTGATAAAAGTATAAGAAATCTCTCATGTTCAGATAGGGGAGTGACTAGTAAAGGAGATCAACTGAAAAAGGAACTGTGAGTACACAAGAATCAAACAAACTAGCTATATTACACACACTGAAAATTTTAAAGAAAGACTGAAATTACTCTAGTGGAAATCTAGCCTCTCCAAAATCCAATATTTAATATTAGTTTTTCTTTTCAGAAAAAACTACTGGCTGTAAACATGTAATCTTTATTTTAACTGAAACATTCTGACATGCAACAGACAAATTGAGAATTACAGGATAGTTAATGAATACATTGAAGGCAAATAACAGATATGAAGAATGAGGGTTCTAACAGTACAGTTAAAGCTCAGAATTTAGAAGACTTCAGAAATACAGAATTATAGAAGACAGACAGTAAATCTATCACATTTGAGAGTAAACAACATTTTATAAAGAACTAAATTAATTTTAAAGTATAAATTTTATTTCTTAAAAAAGTTTTTATGCAAATAGTGCAAATCAGCCTCTCAAAATGAAAAGAATTTAAGAATTAGAAGAGACTATAAGTCATTGCATCTCTTCCACTCCATTTTACAAATGAGAAAAGTGAGGCTCACTAGTAACTTTAGCTGATAAACACTTTTTTTTTCCTCATTGAATTTATTGGTACATTTTAGGTATACAGTATAGTTTTTTTGTTGTTGTTGTTGTTTTTGAGACAGGGTCTCACTACGTAGTTGAGACTGACCTAGAACTCACTATGTAACCCAGGCTGGTCTCAAACTCACAGCAATCCTCCTGCCTCAGTCTCCCAAGTGCTGGGATTACAGACATGCGCCACCACGCCCGGCTGGCTGATAAACACTTTTATATACTCGCAAATAATACATGTAAGTTAATTTCTACTTCATTATCCTGACATATGCCTAGACAGTAACTTAAAGAGATTATATGAACCTCAGTCTCAAGTGCTGGGATTACAGACATGCGCCACCACGCCCGGCTGGCTGATAAACACTTTTATATACTCGCAAATAATACATGTAAGTTAATTTCTACTTCATTATCCTGACATATGCCTAGACAGTAACTTAAAGAGATTATATGATTATGATCTCTAAGTACTTAACACAGTAGTCACTTTGTAGATTTTGGTCCAAAAGAGTCAAGAATAGAACTATTCCATTAAATGTAAATTTTTCATTTTCATTTTAGAATACCATCCATTCTTATAAAATTATTTTATGTGATACGTAAGCTATAATCAAAGACCACAAAAAAAAAAACGTGCTAGGAAATTTATAAGAAGTCAGAAGTTCTGATAGCCCTTAAAGATCTATACTTTTCTTTTTTGGTAATGGGGACCCAACTCAGGAACTTGTGCTTACAAGCAAGTTCGGTGCCACTGAGCTAAATCCCTGGCTCTTTTGTTGTTGTTGTTGTTGTTGCTGTTGTTGTTACAGCATCTTGCTATGCAATTCAGGCTGGCCTTGAACTGACTATTTAGCTCAGGCCACCTTCGAACTCAAGGTGATCCTCCTGCCTCAGCTTCCCAAGTACTGGGATTACAAGCAGGATTTGTACTACTTTTAATGCTCATTTACTTATTTATTTGGTACTCGGAATCAAACTCAGGACCTTGTGTTTTCCTGGCAGGTGCAGCATCACTGAGCTAAATTCCTGGCCCTGGATATATATATATATGGATATATATAGCTATATATTCTTATAGTATACTTCTATTTCCCAAATCTGTCTTTAATGAGGAATGTATAAGGTTAATTATCTGATACAACCTCCTAATATTTTCTGGTTAGAAATTTATAATACAAGGTTACAGGTTAAGAGGAATCAAACTTTATCACTGTTTTCTGAGGCCACTGATCCCTTAACAAAACTGACATTAGTTTCTTTTTTGTTTTGTTTTGTTTTTTGAGACAGGGTCTCACTATGTATGTAGTTCAGACTGGTCATGAACTCACTATGTAGCCCAGGTTGGCCTTGAACTATGGTAATCCTCCTGCTTCAGCTTCCCAAGTGCTGGGATTATAGGTATGTGCCACTACACCTGGCAAATGTCTCTTTACTACATGTAAAAGAATCATGATACAAAACTAGTTCAATAAAATGTAAGGAATACCTATTACATGAAAGACACTCAAATGATTTGGCTGGCCAGAGTCAACCCAAACTTAAAGGTGGTTATTTCAATTCCAAATAATGTGGCAATACATTATTCCAGAATTTTTTGGAACCTGGCTGTGTACTGTCTAAAGATTGTTTTGGCTGCTCTGCCATTTTGAACTTCTGCTCTTTCCCCTTTTCCTCTGGGTTGGTAATCAGCTTGCTTTGATACAGTCTATGTTTGTTATATTTCAAAGATCCTTTTATTTTGCTCACATTTGGTTTTTTTCCATCACCCTGCCTTTCATTCTTTTTACCTTTCTCTTGGTACTTCCCCTCATCTCCCTTATTGTCTAGCTCTTCTTTTCTTTTTTCCATCTGTCCTATTTTCTTCCCCCTCCTCCCCTTCTTCCTCCCCTACCTCCCCTTCTCCTTCCTCTCCTCCCCTTTCTCCTTCTTCCTCTCTTTCCACTTCTCCCTCTTCTCCCGCCTCTTCCTCTCCTTCTTCCCTTTCTCCTCCCTCTCCTTCATCCTCTTTCCCTATTCCTTCCTCTTCTTCATTCTCCCCTTCACTATCTTCCCCCTCTTCTTCTTCCTCCTCATCCTTCTCCCCTACTCCTTCCTCCTCCCCCTCTGCTTCTTGCTCTTCACTGTCCTTCCTCCTCTCTCCTCCTTCCCTTTCATTTCTTCCCTCCCCTACCTCCACTCCTTCAGTCCCTTCCTCCTCTCCCTCTTCTGTCCTTTCTCTTTCTTTTCCTTTCTCCTCGCTTTACTCTTCACCCTTTCCTTTCACCTCCACTTCTCCTTCCTCCATCTCTTGGTTTCTTTCTTTCTGATAGCCTCTGTCTCTTTCTAATTCCTCCTGTACTTCATTATCCCCCTTTTCCTCCTCCCCCCTTCTAAGTCCTTCTCTTCCTTATCCAGTTTCTCTATTTCTGCTGCTCCCCGATCTTTATCCCCACCTCCCCTAGCCACTGCTCCACTCTTGAACTACACTCTTCCCAGATTTCATCCCCTCCACCTTCAGGCCCATCCTTGTCCTCTCCCTGTGACGCTTCCTGGCTTTCACTCACCTCTGCTCTGTCTGTATAGTCATCTGACAGGGTCTCTGCTTCCTCCTTTCTTCCTCCTTGAACCTCCACATTTCTCTTATGTGCCTCTAACACTTGCTCCTTTACTGAAATTTCTTCTAAATCCTCTGTTTCTTCCTGTTCCTCTGGTATTACTGGCAAGCTGTTATACTTAAAAGTACATTGGGCCAGAAAACTGGATACTCTGAGATTAGCATTAAATTCTTGTTTGTTCAGTTGTCTTTTGAGCCACAGGTCGTGGTCAATTTCCACTTCATCACCATCGTCACTACTAAATTCTATTGACTTGGGCTGCTGGAAACTGTCACCTTTACTCTGCTGAGTGTGGCTTTCAGGTTTCATGTCACTTTCTGTCTCTTCTATCAATTCTCTTTCACTGTCAAAGATAACATCTTCCTTCCAACTTTTCCTTTCCTCAACGAAAAACTCATTTTCTTCACTCTCAGAATTCACGTCTTTATCTGATAAATCATCAAATAATGTATATTTTACACATTTTAGATTCTTTTCCCCTTTTCTTATATCATTCAGATCTGCCACTTCCATCAGCTCAGTTTTTATATCAGAGATTATTTCTTCTGCATCATTTTTCTTTATTTCTTTAGCATCAAGTTGATCAACACCACTTTTATTTTCATGACTAAGTATCACTTTTTGCAAATACTTTTCATTGGTGTGGATCTGAGGCCCCACCTTATCTGAGCCATTACCTAAGTCCTCATCTGAAAATGCTTCCAAAGTTTCAGCAGCTTGCATCATGAAGATCCCTTTTGCTACCTGTTTATATGCTTTCTCTTTTTCCATTTTTGACATTTCTTCATTTTCATATTCATTACTATCATCACTTTCAGTACAAGCTGTATGCTGCATCAGTTTCTCAACTGTGTCTTGATTCTGTAAATGTTTTGAAGTAATTGTCATACTACTATTAGTGGATAAAAGTAACTTATCATCTATAAAGTATTACTGACAAGATTTTACATTTCTATAAGTTTTACAAAGAAAATAAAAATTTTTACTTTTACTAGTCATTTTGCTGAGGTTTTGTTTCCTTCAGGAATAATTTGTGCCACTCTCTAGGTCTGTGGTACATCTAATTTTTATTTAGTAATACACATCTGTTTAACTTTCAATTCTTAATACCTACATTAATTTCTTCATTAAACACGGTATCATTCATATTTATTCTCTGCTCCTTAACATATTAACATATCATTAACATATCAATCCCTATATGATTCATTTCCAGACTCTTTTGGGAAGATTATTTTTAAAAATTGCATTGTTCTTGAAGCTCAGTATGTTTTCTACCTTCTGTTACCATTTTTATTTTATTTGTAATTTTCATTAGTTTCTTAAGTCCATGAAATTCACAAAATTAAAGAAAATGAAAATTAAACAAATAGCTGATTTCTACAGAAAAACTTAAATGAAAAGTATACATAAAATTTTAATCTACATATTAAACAATAATGAATGAATTATTTTTTCCAAAGCAAAATCTTTATATGGGTTTATATGGGTTTTCACATTTTGGGCTCTTCCTTTTAGCTATTGTTAGTATGTTCATTGTAATAACTTGACATGAAAAAAATCACTACCAAAAAATACTCAGGGTAAATCAAACATTAAGATCTGAATAATATACTGACAATATGAAATGATTTCCTGTCAAACAAAATAAGGCAAACCCAAATTGTTGAACCAAATTCTCCAAGCTAACAGACTTAAAGATCTACTGCATTTAGGTCTCTGGCTGGTAAAATCTCACCAAATAAAATCTACAAATTGTACTGAGAAAGGCCTACAACGAGGTTTATTTTTTCCTCAAAGAAACTATTAAAACAGGAAAAGTTATAAATTAATAAGCTAATATATATTAATAGTATTAATATAACAAATCTCTTTTACTCAGTAAAATAGACTGAGTAAAGCCTAAACAGATTATAGGAAGTATGAAATATATACATACATGTAAACACAAATATAGATATGTATGTATATATATATATATATATGCATGCTTATAAGGAAGTGCTTTCCTCTTCAATCTGTTCTCTAGCATCTCGCAACTTGAAAGTTCTTTCGAGATCTCTAAGAGATATAGTCTGCTCAGTACTCATTTCTATATGTATGTGCCTTTCCCTTGGATAATAAAGCAGCATAGAAAAGGCAAAACTCAGAGTGTAAGAGAAAAAGTCACAAGAAAGATGGCTGTATGGAAGTATAGACTAATAAAGACTGGCTCTAAATTTACATAATTTAGCAAGAATCTCTTCAGTTTCATTGGTATTCGTTTTAAGGACTTGTAATAATAGCATATGCACTAACAATATAATTAAATGCTCTTGATAAGCCTTTCTCCCTCAATTCATTTTGCTGCTATATTTTCCTAATCCCAAACTCCCCATTATTTCACTCCACTGGCCCTTAAGGCCAAGGAAAGAATTTCAGGGGAGGTCTTTATTTCTCCAGGATTATGGAAACTAGACTATCCCTTCCTTTTGATATCTGTTATTAATTAAAGGTATCTTTTACTCACGAACAATTTTTAATCTCAAAGTTTATTTTAATCATGTTTGTATGCTATCCATTCCTTGATAAAGCCCAATCCAAAAATTGGAAAGGTCATGCTCGCTTCAGCAGCACATATACAAAAATTGGAAATGTGATTATCAAATTTTTTCACTAAATCACACTTTAAACTAGAGAAGATGTTAATATCATCCAGTAAAGTCAACCTAGTATCATCACTCAAAGTTATACTCAAAGTCAGAAAGCCACTCTGATAAATGGTAGCCTCTTCCTGTAAATATGAACAATTATAAACTATTGCTTGACAACAAGAAAACTAATTATTCCAGCAATGAAATTCTATCAATTTTGTTGCATCACAGAAAATACATACCAACAGAACAAGCCAAATGGAGGTCATCTACATTGTACTCCTCTAATTTTTCAATTCTAAAGTAAATTGCTTACCTTTCTTATGTTCTTTCAAGAAATCTAAGAAAAATAAACTGTTCTTATTCATATAATAAAAATAACTCCATATTATACCTTTTGTTTTTGAATTGGCAAAAATTGTAATGACTTGTCATTGGAGTTCAGGCTCACCATGTGTGTCTGAAATAAATAAAAATATATGTTCCAAAATGAACAAAGATTATATGTATGATTATATATGCATACATTTTAAATATATACAAAATGAATGCAAAACTGTTCAGATAGTAATATAATCTACTCTCGATAGCCATCTTAATGATATGACAGAAACAAATTTTATTGTATGAATTCTACCTCATAAAGTTGGTTAAAAATCAACAAAATGAAACAAAAACAAAGCAGCCGCTTCTTGAAAAAAATAGAAAGCAAACACACAAACATGATGAACTAAAATTCAAGTCAAATGAATATATGGATAGGTAGGAAAATATTACCATATTTAAGACATCAGTAGTTTCTCCCAAGCTTTCTGAATCTGCTGATGAAATATTTTCTGTCTCTCTGTCTTTTGTCAATTTATCTTGAAAAATGTCTGAATAATTAAAAGGGAAAAAGGAAATCCAGATTTCAACAGGAAAATAAAAAGGAACAGTACAAAAAATAGAAACTATTTTGTAATACAGAACAAGAGTGTAATTTTACCAAAGGTCTTTTAATCTCATGGCAAGAGTTAAACAGAAGTCATTCACAGTAACATGTTTTTAAAACTTTCTGAAAGTTTCAAAACTTAAGCAATGAGACAACTGCTTCATTCATAGGGACAGGCAAACAATATTCCTTAGGGATAAATACTACCCAGGGTTAGCCCTCCTGACATTCCTACCTTGAGTTAAACTCCCCTTGCACACTGGACCAGGTTGATATCTATGTGTATGGTGAACTTAACAGTGCAAAGGTATTGTGATGTCATTGTAGCTTTTGTCTTGGATACACGCATGCATTCTCATTCTCATTCAGATTCAGATTCTCCCTCCCCACATCTTATCTTTTCACTCTGGGGCAAAACAATATGAACAGAGAAGCCTAAGTGGCAAGGACTTTGAAATCTTCTGTCAATGGCCAAGTGCCAGTCAAGGCTTCAGATAACTGCCTCATCTGGTAGTACAACTGCAATCCTATGAAAGACCCTGAGCCAGAAAATCCAGCTAAGTTGTAGCAACAAATCACTAGTGTAAGCACCTAGGACCTGTCACAGAAAATTACAAGTTACTATATCATAAAGCAGATAATTAAATGTCATAAGCTTTATAGTGACCTTATATTTTTTTCAATTTCTCACTATCTCCTCTTTGATCATCTGTCCCTTTATTTGAAGGAAGCTCCTTAATGAAGTCTGCTAAAAATGGTGGGCTACACTGATCTCTGTTTTAAATCTACACAATTGAATGAGCAAATAGTCATTTAGTGCTTATTCCATGTGAGGTAATATGTAGAGATAGCAAATGCTAATTCTTTTGTTTTTATTATTTATATTTAAGGTGTACAACAGCTGTTTTGATATACATTTACATTTAATAAAAATTATCAATGTTTTAATTGCCAAATGTTACTAAATTTATAGTGTAGAAGGGAATGTAAAACACATGATATAGGGGAAAGAAATCAAATCCAAATGTTTGGAATCAGAAAAGGTTTCACTACAGAAGCACACAGGATGAGTAGTGTTCTGACAGATGGAAACGGAGGTGAAAAAGGAAAAAATGAAGCCCATTCATAATAAACAAAGGAGCAGGGGGAAAAACGACATACAGGGAAGCAGCTTGTGTTGAAGGCTTCCCATGTACCAGTAACACAGGCCTTTATACACACTAGGTTAACAAAAGTCAGTATTAATATTTCATTTTATAAATTCAGGAAAATAAGCTTCAGTAACATTTCTGGAGCCCAGTGTCAATCTCAGATCTGACTCTATAGCCCATACTCTTCAATGAGTCATATTCTAAACTGCTTAGTTTGATCAAATTGGGTCAAGCCATATTTTCTCCAAAGGGCCACATAGGAAATATTTTAGGCTTTGTGAGCCATAAAGTCTTGTCCTAACAATACCTAAAAATGTAGCATGGAAGTAGCTATAGACAAAATATGAAAGAACAGGTATTGCTGGGTTCCAACAAAACTCTATTTACAAAACAATGTGGATGGCTAGATGTGACCCATGGACCACAGTTTAGAGATTCCTGATAGAAATAAAGGTTATAAGACAAAGATCATTGAGAGATGAAGACAAAAAAAAGATGAAAATATTATAGGAACATCTTCACTGATTTTCATAAAGATCAGTGATTCTCCTAAGACAGTGAAACAGATAGGAATTGAACTGCATCTAAGGAATAGTAACATGAAAAGTGTTACACAGACAGAATGTAGAGGGCAGAGAATATAAGTTTAGAAAACAGTGCAATTCATTAACGCTGATTTCCTTGTGTCAGGACTTGACTGAGAAAACACGTTACCACCTGATCTTACCAACAAGCACACACAATTACCTACATTTGTATCCAAGTTCTAATTTTCCTGTTAAAATGTAGAGCATCTTTCCTGTAGCAAAGATTGCTCTATATGCCAGGCTCTTCAGTCTTCTGAGAGCTCTGCATCCTGTTTCTTGGGCTACCAAGCTGTTTTGAACACCTCCACTGGCCTACAAATGTGCTCCAGTATTTCTCACCACTGATTCCACAGTTCCATCTAGCTGCCAATCCAGAGGTCTGGGCTACTTCATGACCAAAGAGACAAAATAATGATCTAGACAGCCTGTCTTTCACTTTCTCATTCCTCATTCATGCCTCAACTGTTAACCTTCTAGCTTCTTTCCAGATCTTCCCCTGGAACTGCTCTTGTTGAGGTCACTGGTAAACTTCATGACACCAATTGCACAGAGTATTTCTTTCAGCTCTTTTTCTTAACCTTTGAGCAATACTTTGCATTTATGACCCTACTTTTTAATTTCCCTCCTCTGTCCTTATTCGCCGATAAGTCTGAAGGTTTGTTGGTTCTCCCTCTTCTACCCTCTAAATGGTAGATGCATTTAGAACTACAATACTGAACTCACTTCTCTTCTGACTTTACTAACAGATGATTTCAACAATTGCCATGGATTTTAAATACTGTATCATTTATTTGATGATTATTTTCAAGGTCGTATCTCTAGTCCAGAACTCTTTTCTGAACTTTAGGCTTGCATTCTCAACTGCCTGCTTGATGTTTCAATTTGCACACCTCACAAATAGAGTCAATTCTTAAATTTCTTCCTCAAACTTGTCAACCAACCTCTTGCATAAGAATTAACCTTGATTTTCCCTTAATTTCATACATATGTGCAATCTATGAGTAAGTTTACCAAGTCTAGTTAGACCTATGTCTGAAATGTATTTCAAATTCGTCCCTTCTTTACATCTCCACTGCAAACAGTCTGGTCCATACACCATTACCTCTTGGAAAAGGCTGACAAATACTCTTTCTACTTTTTCTATGATCCATACAGAGGCAGAGTAATCATCTTAAAACATAAACTTGATTAGAATGCATCTGTCTACTTTAACACATTCATGATGGGGTTGTAATTCATTCACATTCTCACCGCCAGGCAGCCTGAACTGGTGGTACATGCATGATAGTCCCATGCATGACTGTACTATTTCTACCACCAGTGGTACAAGCTGCCTGATGGACAATCATGCACGTACCACTAGTGGTTCAAGCCAGTGGGAACATGTTAAAACCCATTCATTGCTTATTAATATACTTAAGAAAAACAATAAAATCAAATAGGCCTCTTCTGGCTTATAAAATGAAGAATAATTTTTCACTGTGTCTTTCTCTAACATCATCTTTTCCTGCTGGGTGCATCACTTCCTAGCCCAACTATTCATCTTTCCCTTATAAATGTCCTCCAAATCTTTGTCTGAAATCCACACATTCTCTGTGTGCCTTTCTTATCCTTATGTTTTAGCATAAATGGTACCTTCTGAGCAAGAACTACCCTGCTCCATTTTCTTCCATTATAAAGACTAAAGTCTGCCAATGATTTAGAAAGTCACATTATAAATTGGCTATAACTTACAAATTACTTGTTATTATGAGTTTTAATAAATAGTTACAACAAGATAAGGGATGGCTTTTTCTTCTTGATCCAGCTACAAAATTATGCGTATCTTCACATTTAAATCTCTTAAAGTGGAAAACAACATTCCTCAAACGATAAACTTCTTTTTTCCTTTTACACACTGCTTGTCAGAATCTACTATCTTTTCAATGTCTAGGGCTGAAGAGTGCCACTGATACTTACTAAAAGAAACCACCAACAGAGTGAAAAGACAACCCACAAAATGAGAAAAAAACTTACCAGCTATTTCTCAAAGGACTAATATCTAGAATATATAAAGAAGTAAAAAAAATCAGACCCCCCCCAAATTTAAAGCCATAATTCAAAAATAGGCATCTAAAATGAATAATACTTCTTAGCTAAAGAAGTACAAACAGCAAATCAATATATGAAAAAATGTTCAACATCATTGGTTATCCGAGAGATGCAAATTAAAACAACAATGAGATTCCATCTCACTCCAGAAAGAGTGGCTATCATCAAGAAATCAACCAATAACAAATGCTGGTGAGGCTGTAGAAAAAGGAATCCTTTTCCACTGTTGGTGGGACTGTAAACTGGTACAACCAATAAGGAAATCGGTATAGAGATTCCTCAAAAAACTAAACTAGAGATTCCATTTGTCCTAGCTATTCCTCTTCTTGGTATCTTCCCAAAAGGGTTAACAACATCATACCATTGCGATATATGCACATACATGTTTATAGCAGCATAATTTGTAATAACTAAATCTTGGAAACAGCCTAGATGCCTATCAATGGATGAATGGATAAAGAAAGCGTGGTTCTTATATAGAATGAAGTACTACTCTGCCATAAAGATAAACTTGAGACACTTTTAGGTAAATGGATATACCTCGAGATCATACTTTTAAGCAAGATAAATTGGATACATACATTTAAATACATAGTTTCTCTTGTGTGAGAAACCCAAAGTATAAATAAGGACCAAAATGGATGAAAGATCTTAGGAAGTAGGAAGAAAATGTCCAAATGAGAAGAACAAGGGAGGGAAGAGGAGGCAGAGAAAAGGAAAAAAAGAGAATAGAAGGAAAAATGAAAATAGAGCTTTTATAAATACGGAGGGGAAAACGGGTTAAAGGGAGGGTAGGAGAATGGGGAAAAAAGAATAATCAAGATATGTATTATATACAGGTACAAATTCCCTATGATGAATGTGATCATTACGTATATCAAAAGTATACTAAGAAAATTATTTTTTTAAAAAAGGAATTATTCCCTGGTACCAAAAAAAAAAAAAAAAAAAAAAAAAAAAAAAAAAAAAA